AGGCCTTTGACGTGCTTGCTGCCAATATCTCCTTCCAGGATTGGCCAGCAGATGAACCCCTCCCTCCTCTATGCCCCACTCCCCCTGCTCCCCTAGCCACCTTCTCACAATGCTGGGGGCACACCATGGTGTGCCTGTCTCCTCTTCCCCAGAGGATCCCCAAGCACTGTCTGGTCTATCTCTGGAACATCTCTTACCTCTGCACGTCTGCAGGCTGTTACTCTCTGCCTTCACTCAGTCCCTCACATTCTGCCTTGGCCAAGGGCAGCCACCTTTGGTGGGCCCCCCGCCTCCTGTCTCTCTAGTGCTCCACCTCCCCTTCTCATCACCCTGGGCCCACAGCTCAACCCCAGATGCCTTAGCATGTGTGCCAGATCTTTCTTAGCTCACTGACTTGAATGTGCCTCCCCCAAGAATGCACAATCGTCAATCCCTGGAGGTGGTACCTCTGGACCAGGACACTGGCCCCCGTGCCGCTCAGGCAGACGCCTACTCGCCCTTCAGCATCCAGCCCCGCAGCCTTCCCCGCCCAGCTCCTGCAGACCCTGCTCACTCTCTCACCTCCATGTAGCTCCGAGCACCTGCGCCTGTGATTCTTTGTTCTTGTGCACAGCTTCCCACACAGGGAGCCCTTCTGAGGCTAGGACTTCTGTTCTATTCCATTGCCATGTTTACTCTGTATGTCGTGCTGGCACAGTGCCTGGCACACCACAGGCCCCAGGAAATAGTGTCGGAATGAGAGAACGGAAATCTAAGACTTTCTGGATCTGGATTTTTAACATGGTGGTTGTAGCTGATGTCTCTTGTCAGATCGGGTGTCAGTTGGGCGCCTAATCCAGAGTGGGTGTTGTGAGGTGTCGCTCTGTCCCAGGACTCACTGGGGCCGTCACCGAACTCAGCGCCTAACATCAGTTGGTGCCTTGAGGTGCTTTCCAGTTTCTCACTTGCCCCAAGGGCAGACAGAGCTGTCCGGAGGCTGGGCATCACCCAGAGGATGCCGGCCGTTGGCCCAGCGGTCACACTGCCCCTCAGCTGTTCCAATGGGGTCACCTTGTATATAGTAAGGTGTGGACACAAAAGAGGTATTTTTAGTGCTGTTTTTATAGGGAAGACAGAAGCAGGCTATCTGGTAAAGAGACTGCTGAGCTTGGGATTAGGGGACCAGAGTTTATTGATTTTCATTACTGTTATTGAAACTAGACATATGTTGAACATGCAGCAACATGCACAGCACAAAGTTGGGCACTCCCCGCTCGGGGGCCTCCTGAGGCTGACCCAGCCTGCCACGCACACCGCCAGGGCAGCCGGCCCGTGGATCTGCAGGTGGCAGGCCTGCCTCTCCCTCAACGGGTCCACCTGCTCTTGGGTTCTTTACTGCTGGGTCGGACAAGATTTCCTGAAGCCAGCCGTGCAGTGACCGCTGGATCCCGGAGTAGAGCTCTGTGGTTCACACCTCTGTTGAGAGAAGGTCATCGTAAAATAGCACAAGAGCACTCCAGGAAGCTGGGCCCGCGTCTGCTAGTTTGATTTTCTGGAGATGTTCCATGAGGAGTCTGGGGGAAAGACAGGCCGTGGCTGGTCAGATGAGGGATTCCAGGAATGGAAGAAAAGCGGGTACAGGTACAAATGGAAGTGGAGGTGTATTCAGGCTGACAGGTAAAATTAAGGACCCTGGGCAGAGAATAATGTGTTTTAGGAATGAGTTTTCCATGTTAGCCCACTCAAATTAGCCCACACAACAAATTATGCAATGTATGTATGTATCCACCAACATATAGGTGGAAAATGCTCTTTACTGCTTGGAAAATAGGTACCACCACTCACTTGCTCTCTCTTCCCACTGATTCATGTGGGGTGCACAGGGCCAGGGCATTCCCTGCCTTCTTGCCGCCCTCCATCCTCCCTCCCTCTGGGTCAGCTGGGGTCTTCTTGCAGCCCCTGAAAACATGTGACCAAGCATGGCATCAGTGAGGGGCATGTGTTCCACCTGCCTTGACCACCTGCTGCCCACTGCATATTATCACTGCCTGCGAATCTCAGCCAGTGGGGAAAGCCTGTGTCCACCCACTAGTACAACCTGATTTTGTGGAAGGAGAAGTGCTGCAGCCCAGGGGGAACTGCCAGTGGCTCTCCTGGATCCCTAGAGCTCAAAGCAGGGAGCCAAGTGGGGGCAGCTACCCCCCAGCATCACGGCATAGCACCAGCTCAGGGGCCCAGCCCAGCCATCACTGCCTCCCCCACGCTGCCGACACCCGGTGGACTCCCAGGTGCGACAGGCACCGTGCTGCCCCGATCTGTGTCTGGATAACACCTGCAGGGCAGGGGCTCCTCTTAAGTTCCCTTGCATCCCGATGACCCAGTCCAGTGCCCACACAGAGGAAGAGCCCAGGTAGTGCCCAGTTATTGGAATGAGCAGTGGCCTGGGGGCAGTGACCTCTAGGTCTGTCTTCCCAACCTGTTTAATTTCCTGTTCGTAAAATTAGAATAAACAAGTGGTAATAATTTTAAAGAGGCTTTCACTTATGGCTGTGGACAGGGTTGTGTTGTGTTTCTGAGGAGTTCAGAGGATCAACTTTGTTCCACGTTGTGAACAGAGTAGCTCCAAATTCACCTCTAACAGCAAGTCACTGCCTCCTGTGGAGCACCAACATACAGGTGGAAAATCCTCTTTACTGCTTGGAAAATAGGCACCATCACTCACTCGCTCTCTCTTCCCACTCATTCACTTATTCACATATTCATTATTCCTTTCATAAATACTTACCAAGAACTTACTATGTCCCAGGTGCTGGGCTAGCCATGTGGTAGGTATCTAGCAGCATCATTTTTTACTCCCAAGGACGATCCATCATTCCCTGACTGTGCTACAGGAAGCATGGCCATACTTCACCCCACTTTTTCACAGTTGGGGATACAAAAGCAGACTGACTTTCATTTGCTTATGTAATTACTGGACATGACTCAGAGCCTGAGCCGCTGAGTATGGGTGCCCAGGCCATGCACTGCACAGCTTCAGAGGAGCTGTGGCTCCAGAATCAGTCACCAGTTGTCATTACTCAGTTCTCCAGGTTGTGTGGCTTGTTCAAAATCCACTGAGATGTGCAACACTTCATCAGCAAGCAGTGCCAGGGTAGGTGCTGACCCAGAGGCTGGTCCTTGGCTGGTACCTTCCCATCTAGTCCTGGCAAGCTCATGCCACTTCAGCAGAGACTCCCTTCTCCGTTGGGCCTGGCCTAGGTCAATCACTAGAATCCCGTCCCCTCAGAGCAAGTCTGCATGCAGCAAGCCGGTCTCTGCCTCTGGGCCTGTCTGCCCCCGCAGCCGTCTCGGTCTCGGTCTTCGGCACCGCCACCACTCCAGCCTCTGCTCTCCTGCAGCCATGCAGCTCTGTAGCCATGAGCAGCCTTGTAGCCATGCCATGGTGTCACCCAGAGCACTGGGCTCTTTATATAGAGTCAACAGCAACATATTGCCCACACAGGGGTAGTGAGCAAGCCGACCAGGGCCACATGAGAATCCTGGCCATAGGAACCTTCACTTTATCCACACCCACTGTCCCAGGTCCTAGTCACTGAGATCAATTCCAGCCATGCCATCAACAGCACTAAGTGATAAGCAGTCTCTGGAGACCTATCAAGGGTCCGTTGCTCCAGGGATCATGTGCAGCATCCAAGGCTACACAAGCTCTAAATCAGACAGCAGGCAAGCCCAGGAGCCAGAGGCAGTGGCTTGGATATTTGGGGCATCTCTGGGCTGCCTAAGGGCAGGCAGTTCCCTTTCTGGCCCTGTGTTTAATGCATAGCACTGACCTGCCAAGTGCACAAGACGGGGGATTCAGTCCTCTCTGTGCCATACATGCATCCAGTCATGGAGCCACAGCTCAGCCTTGATAGGAAGGGAACCGAGGAAGGGAATCTGAAATGTGTCTCTGTAAGCCTTAGGAAAACTCCATGGTGGGGTCAGGCAAGGACTGCTGTGGGGCTCATTCCAGCTCCCGACCGCACTTTGCAAATCCCAGCGCTCAGGCAGCTTCCCAAGCGTCCGCATCTGTGTGGGGCTGAGTGGGGTGTGGCTGCCTGGAAACCAGATTCCTGGCTTCCTGGCTGGAACACATGTTACATTTGGATTTAAAAGGCTGTTTTTCCTCTCTGGTGTGTGCATGTGAGTGTATGTGTGTGGATGGGTGTGGACGTGCACATGCACTTCAGAGCTGGTGTGTCTGGCATGCACCTGGGTGTCCATGTGCAGACATTTCATGCCTGGAATGCACACTTCTCAGTCTCCATGTGATTGATGCCATGTGCAGTGATGGGGATTTGGCTGATGGGAAACAGTCTCCTTTCTCCCCATTTGGGACCCATCAGTGAGCCCGTGTGTTGTAGGTGTCTGGGCCCAGGAGGAGCATGTGGGGATATAAATATATACCTACAGCATCAAGTAATTAGGTGTTGGAAAGATCACTGAGAATACTGCTATCCACACCAGCTCTGGGGATGGGGCTGCTCCTGCGGTGAGAATGAGTGTCGCTGGTCTCTCCGAACACCTTTTCCTAGTCTCCCTGGCTTTCAGTGTGGGACACACCCCCGGATCAAGAACAGGGTGCACAGTGGCTGAACCTGCAACCTCGGTCTCATGAGCACCAAGACCATACAGTCCAGGCCAGGAGCATGTGACGGTGATGGTGCCACTCTGCATTTTCTCAGCACTGTGTTAAGTGCTTTCACCCACCTCAATCAGACAGTATTCACTAAGCATCTACTTCCTGCACTCACCACGAACAGGGGGGCTGCGGAGGACAAGGGATGTTATCCCACTTGTGTCATAGTTCACTGGGATGAGAACTAGGACTCTGCACCCTCCTCAGGGAGCATCTGCTAGCACCTGTGTGTCCACGGATGCACCCCTGAGAGGGTGCCCTGTAGCCTCCTGCATAGGGGTCCTCAGGATCTTCACAAGAGGGGCCCACGGGCCTCTCTGAGATGCATCTGCTCTCCCTGCAGAGTGGCGACAAGGAAGTGGGGCCAGGATGATCCTGCAGGATGAAGACATCACCACCAAGATTGAGAATGACTGGAAGAGGTTGAACACCCTGGCCCATTACCAGGTGAGACGAATGAGGGCAAGGGGCGGATGGATTCAGTAATGGCAGGCACTTCCCTGGGAGTCTTAAGTCCTTGGCCGCCCCAAGGCTAGACACCAAGCCCTCCATGTTCCCTTAGAGACTCAGGGGAAGTTGATATCCTGCAGGCAGGAAACGTTGACCTATTTGGAGATAGGATGCCGATGTGCAAGCATCCTGCAGGGTGTGGGCAGAGAAAAGGCTCTTTCTTGGAAGATCCTGGAGTTTAAGGCTTTGTGCCATCCCAGGAAAGCATCTGGGCAGAGAGTGCTAGTGAGAAGCTCTCGCCAGAGTCACTCCCAAGAATAAGGCCCAGCACAGAATGATTCGGTGTTCAGATCTGTCTTGTTCTATCAAAGGAAAGCTGACAGCCTCCACAGCTCCCAGTCCTCCGATGAGGCCCTGATTGCCCCTGAGAGCTGGGCTGATCCCGATCTGTCCTTGTTTCTTGGGGCGGCAGAGCTTCTGTGCTCAGGCCCTTACAAGCCTTTTCCCTATAGGTGCCAGATGGTTCTGTGGTGGCTTTAGTGTCCAAGCAGGTGACAGCCTATAATGCTGTAAACAACTCCACAGTCTCCAGGACCTCGGCGAGTAAATACGGTGAGTTCACTGAGGGCAAAGGGGATGCCCTGACACCTACTGCCATGGTGGCAGCACAGCGGGAAGGCAGCGGACCCCCATGACAGGAGTGGTGTGGGGGGAGTCAGACAGGCTGACCATGAGAGAGGAGAGTCCAGCCGGAGAGGAGGCTCCTGACTGCAGGCAGGAACTCTGATGCAGGAGCAAGACCCCTGTCCCCCAAAACAAGAAGAAAATCTAACCTTCATGAGTGTCTAACAGTCTGTCTGTAAAATGCTTTCACTTTTGTGATACTCATTATCACACCTCAAGTTCATAACAATCAGTGAATTAAATAATTATTATTTCCCTCTATTATGCAGATTAGCAAATTATAACTCAGATGCACAGAAGTGGTGTGTAAAGGTCACACTGTTATGCAGCGGTTGAGGGAAGAGACCCAGGTCTCTAGCTTGGGGATGCTGCAGAAAGGGCACTGGATGCAGGCTGGAAGCCTGCAGAGCCCCACTGTGTGCTTAGGGCCAGCTGCCTGACCACTATGAGACCTGGTTTTCTCACCAGCAGAACAGGGATTGAAAAAACTACCAACTTCACAGGCTCATTCTGAAAAGTAACTAGAAGAAAACAGACTGGTGCCTACATATAGTAGGACCTTCACCTTTTCCTGCTTACCACTCATTTCACCAAACCTCACATTTGAGCAAATAAGTGGGCAGAACTGGCCCAGGCCAGAGGATGAAGGTGAGCCAGTGACAAGCCCATTAGTCAGCTGATCAACAGCCATTAAGGGAGACAGCTACCTGCTCCCACTTTGTACTTAATTGGCTGCACAGAACACACACTGAGACATGACTCGAGAACTCTTACAAGTATAAAAAGAAACAAGCTTATATTTTTACAAATTGAATAATTAAGGGCTGGAGAGCTGCAAATACAGGAAGGAGGGGAATCTGAGTGCAGAGTATAGCCAGTTTCCCAGAGGTGGTGGGAAAACCGTCCCCATCTCAGCAAAGGGACTAAACCAAGGCAAGGTGGTAGTGCCTGCAAGCTGCCGCAAGGACCAGACGGTGCTGCCTCACGAGCTGGGGGTGCACGGTGGGTCCTGATGGGGAAGCTGAGTGGCCTCACATGCATGGGGTCACTGCATTGGCAGAGAACATGATCCGGTACACAGGCAGCCCCGACAGCCTCCGCTCACGCACACCCATGATCACCCCCGACTTGGAGAGCGGAGTCAAGCTGTGGCACCTGGTGAAGAACCACGAGCATGGGGACCAGAAAGAGGGTGACCGGGGCAGCAAGATGGTGTCTGAGATCTATCTGACTCGACTGCTGGCCACTAAGGTATCGGACCTCAGACTGTACAGGGCTCCCGTGGGGTATGGGAAGGGACTTCATCATTCCCAGAGATGCCAGAGCTGGCAATGCCCAGCATGTGTGCTACTGCCCCTTTACTACCCTCTCGTGAAAGCTCTGCTCATCAGCCCCAGTACTCTTTCCCAGCACAGAACCCAGAATCCTTCTCCACCCACAGCTGCAAGCAAACCCCAACCGTCTATCAGCGCTGGCAGTCCGAAGTTTTGCTTCCATCTTTCTTGTTGCCCTTTCTCAAATACAGAGACACCAGTCCATCTATTCTGCTGGGCCAACCGAAAGCAGGACTCCTTCATGGGGCCGGCATGCACAATATCCAGTGATGGAAACTGGGCCCTATCAGTGACTCCCCAGGCACTATTTCTAATCCTTGTCCTGGGGACATTTTGTGCCTGTAATTAGGCTTCCAGTCCTGAGACTGGCCTGGGTTCTGCCCTCGGCAGAGCTAAATGAGTAACTTGAGTAGCTGCTGTGAATAAGGCCCAAACAAAACTAGCAGCTGTGTGTGTCTGCTCTGACCGAGGGAGTTGTTCATTAGCATTTGTGAAAAGTGCTAAAATAACACCACCAAAGGGTGTTAAACCAAACCGTGCTGTTGGCAGAGGAAGGCTTACTTAGGTCCAGTCGTCAGTGGTACATCTATTTTCCACATGCAGGGGAAATGTAAAGCTGTTAAGAGAGAGATGAAGGGGTTGGGGCAGGTTTGACACAGGCATATGTGTTCCTACCCCAGCAGGCCGGGCAGTACCTGTCTTCCACTCCCCTGGTCTTTGAGAAAGTTTTATAAACCCACCGTTAGCTCCCAGGGTGGAGCTGTGTCTGAACCTGTCCTGCCTCCCCAGGGCACGCTGCAGAAGTTTGTGGACGATCTCTTTGAGACCATCTTCAGCACGGCACACCGGGGCTCCGCCCTGCCCCTGGCCATCAAGTACATGTTTGACTTCCTGGACGAGCAGGCCGATAAACATGGCATTCACGACCCACACGTCCGCCACACCTGGAAGAGCAACTGGTGAGAGAAGGGAGAGCAGAGGACGTCAACAGAAGCCAGGTCTGGGCCCATGGTGGCAGCCTTGGGCCCGAGTGAGGTGGGGGGCCTCTGTGCACCTTCACCTGCAGAGGCCTGGCTTCTTACCACCTACCCCTCCCTACCCTCCCCTTCTGGTTTTGCACTCACCTCCTTAATTCCCTCCAGTCAACCAGTTAAACTTCTATTTAACCAACTGAGCAAAAAATAACACGCCAAAAGTTACAGTCAGGTCTCTTTCACATCCAGGTACTCTCTGTGCAACTGGTTTATGGAGGGACAGCATGTATCCACAATGCTCAGGCACGATTCTGAAGCCTACTTAGGAGCTCTCTAGGTGCTCTCTAGGTGAACAGGGCTATTTCTGTTCTATTCAAGAAGCAAAGGTCTTCCCTTCCACAAACTCCTTTTCCAAAACTCCTTTGGGTAAAAGACCTTCCTATAACTACTACTTCTGTCTTTGAGACAATAGGATTCTCTAAGTCCTAATTGACTCTAGGTGTCTCCACTGTGTCCCTCTGTGCTTTAACATATGTCATCCTTTCCCTTCATTTGTGTATAGTTAGTGTTTCCATTCGAGACTCAGGGTCTGACATCAGTATGCAGCAGTTGGTATGGAACCGTGCACGAAGCTGGGACTTGATAAATATTGATGAAGGTTCAGGGCCAACATGGTCTCTACTTGAGAATTCTACCTCAGGCAGAGCTGGCTTATATTTAGTCTTCTCAGTTCCAGAATTGCCTCCCTGTAGCTTTTTAAGCAGTCCCTGTCCCTGCTTCTTCTTCAGAATGTTCTTCCAAGGTGACACCAGCCTGCTGCCCAGCATCTGCCAACTGCTAAGACTGGCATGGCCCTGAGCCCCGCCAAGAGCCTGATCACCAGTCCAAATCAAAACACGGATTACAGCAGAAGCCAGCCCATGGTGCTGAACCTCATTCTCTGTAGCGTGCTCTGGCTTCCCATCTCTTTCACCTGCAGGATAGTGCTGTCTCCACTGAGACTGAGAGATCTCAGAAACCAAAGTTTGGACCATAGAACTGAGAAGCAAGGTTTACTTCCACATTAACTCGCGGTGAGAGAAGACCTTCCATTGCGGAGTTCTTGCAACCTTTTTGAAATAAGACTCCTAGCCTCTGGATTCCTCCTTTAGTGCAGCAACCCTGGGTGAAGCCTCCGTCCTCGGAAAGGCCTGCCTGGGTCTGCCCTCTCCCAGAGCCTGCCTGTAGGGAAGAAATAGGCCTCCTGCTCATTCGCACATCTTTTAGCGTGACTGCAGAGCTGTTCCGAGGGGCATGTCCCCGGCTCCCCAACCTGCTTCTCTCTGCCAGGGAGTCTTCCTCATACCTCCCTGTTTGCATGTTAGCAGCCTTCAGAATATGAGAAATACCCCGCCCAGACCTTTATATTTCTAAAACATGCCTACACACCCTTGTAGCCCATTACAAGTACATCACCTAAAATGGTAGCTTAACCATTTGTTTTCAGCCCATACCCCCAGCTGGGGTAAGGCCACCTCCCAGGATGCCATGAAGTCCTTGGGCAGGGAGGGGGCAAACCCTCCCTGTGCCCCAGCTCTCCCAAGTATTCGTGTGCTATGGCAAAGAACTCCAGTCCCAGTGAAGGGAAGCTGGGCAGCAGACGGCGGTACCAGGCTCAGGTTCTTTCTCCAAAGGACACACTCCCCCTGACCCTGATAACAGTTACCCAGGCAAGAAGCCGTCAGTCCAGGAATTATGGGATCTGCATATTAACTCAGAGTTAATTGTCCCTGATTGAAAAGAGATTGTTTCTTTATTCCTGGCCAAAGTTGTAATTCACCTTCTCCCTACCCCCCTACCCCTGCATTCCCCTACCTTTTCTCTTTTAAATAAACCTCCCGCTTATTTAGCCTGAGTGGCTGCAATCAACCAGAGATCAGTGCCACCACTGATGTTAATAATATGCTAATATTTCATTAGGCAGGAGTCGTGGTGCCGTGCCTTCCTTGTTTGATTTGCCTGTCAGCACAACTGGCTTCAGGAGGGGCAGTGTTAAGGAGAAACAGCCCAGTGGCAGATACTGGCTCCCAGAGTCCCTCTTCTGGGTGGGACTTCCGGAAACAGGAAGATGTGCACAGGAAACTGCATATGCTGGGCAGCCAGGAGTTCTTCAGCCAGGGCTCTGTGCCAGACTGTCATGTTTCCCCTGGGCAGCTGCAGCGACCTCGACCTTCACCCATGCGTCACGACTCTCCCTGCTGTTCCCGTTATTTTCGATTCTGGATTTCCCAGGATCAAACGAGTGCCTCTTAACATTGTCGGATCTCAGTGCTTTCTGCCCAGGACCTGCACTGCACATTTTGTAGGAACTTACTAAAAGCTTGTTGATTGATTGGCAGCCTTGAATATGAGGGCTTACTGTATTTTAGCATTTGTTGTATATATGTACTAGCTGCTGGGAGATACAACCAATAGAGAAAGACTGTACTTGCTGTATTAAAATAACAAAATTCAAAGAGTTTAAGTTCTAAGAGGCAAGCCAAACACATACGAATATTATACCGATTACCAACGGTGAGAGCACCAGCCAAAACAAATAGTAAAGCATCAGGGCAAATAGCAGGAGGCAGGAGTGGCGGCAGAGGGAGGGAAATCAGCCACCCCTTGCTTGGCGACACCCTGCTTCCTACCCTGCATCTCAGCAAGCTGCACGGAAGCCACAGAACCAAGAACACAGCCAAAAGGGGCAGGCGGGCAGGTTTCTCCAGATGCCCCAGGACACTTTCTAGCACCAGACAGAGTGACCCTCAGTTACCAGACCACACTGTGCATTTTTTTCTTTCTTTGTTCAGCTGATTCCTCTTCAGCAGCACTTTTCTTCATACCTTCCTCCAGGCCTCATCTAACTAAGGAACACCTGTGCACCCTTAACATTCAGACCCTCAAGTGCCCTCCCCTCTTTGAAGACTTATCAGACACTTGCCTCTGGGTAGACTCAGTCACACCTCCCTGTGTCCCACACTGGACCCTGCACACCCTTAGCCTCTAGCACCAGTAATTCTTCGAGCACATACTCGATTGCATGTCTGCTTCCCCACGAACCCTCCAGAACGCAGGCTTCTGGAGGGGAGAGACTGTCTTATTCACACTGCATCCACACTTGCTAGCATAGTTCCTGGTATGCAGTAGGTGCTACCTGGAAGACAGGGAGGGGAAGGAGCGAACACAATATGGCAGATGAGGAGCCGTGTATGTGGGCTTTTAAGCATGCCAGCTTGCAGCTGAGAGACCGACTCGCTATGTTAAAGTACTCAGCACCTCCACCATGTAGGAATAAGCTGATACTACCTGGCAGAGAGGAAAAGCGTGACTTCTTCCGAGTCACACCATGGATGACAGAGAGTAAGACCCAAAGCTTAGAGGCCAGCCTGTCCTTAGCGTGCCAGCTGGAGAAACTGTGTATCCAGCATAGGGGGCCAACCATGGAAGAGAGAGTCAGAAACTCCACTTTGTGGCACCCATCAAGGCTGCCTTTGCCCCCAAAGCCTCGTGCTCTCCAGGAAGACTGTGGGCCTGGCTGGGCAGCAGGTCCCCTCCAGTGCCCATCAACATTGTGTCTATGGACGGATCAGTCAACCTTGCTGATCCTCAGTTTCCTGGAAGGTAAGTTGGTGACATGGACTTCTCTTAAGAACTGCTGATTCCCAGCCTTTTTTCTTTCTCCAGAGAATTCTCCAGGGCTAGCTACAGCCTCCCACCCCATCTCTCCTGACCATCTGCTGCTTCCCTCCACACAGCCTGCCACTGCGGTTTTGGGTGAACATGATCAAGAACCCCCAGTTTGTGTTTGACATCCACAAGAACAGCATCACGGACGCCTGCCTCTCCGTGGTGGCCCAGACTTTCATGGACTCCTGCTCCACTTCGGAGCACCGGCTGGGCAAGGACTCACCCTCCAACAAGCTGCTTTATGCCAAGGACATCCCCAGCTACAAGAACTGGGTAGAGAGGTGAGTGTTGGGCCAGGGGGCCAGGGTAGGCTCCGGCAGCAGGCACCTTCCCTTGACCCAGGTCTCCCCGGCCTCCTAATGGGCTGGTGCTTACAGACGGGTTATTTGCAAAGCCTGACCCTGCAGTTGCAACCCCTACAGTAGTACCATCAGCTGAAACAAGACCTGGGAGACTTGGTTGGAAGCTGCCTCTGTGCCCTTGGCCTGCACGGAAGGCCCTGATCTCAGTGGCTGAAATGCCTTCTAGGCCCAGGAAGGAAATAAAGTTCCCTGCTCTAATCCTCACCAAAAAAAAAAAGACTTCAAGGGACCAAATGACATCTTGCCACAGAAAATATGGAAGCCTCTACCCATCGGCCCCTGTTCACCTGGCAGCTCTCCCAGTGTCCTGAGGGGGTGTCACTGTCACTCTGAACAACTTCTCACTGTACCAGTCCCTTGACTCTCATGGGAGGAGCTCCTGCTGCCCTGGGCCTTGCAGCACTTCCCCAGCCATGGTGGTCCTATCTAAACTCAGTCATGCAGGGCACATGTGACTGCAGGTCCACCTGTAAGCTGTGGGGCTGGGTTTGTCTTAGTGCAAAGCTGACTCCTGGTAAAAACTTAATGGTTCATCTAGGCCACTTCCGCTCCATATGCCATACACCTGAGCTAAGCAGCCAGATGAAGCTTTATTTATTTATTCATGATAGTAGCCTGGAAATATAAATAGTATTTATAACCTCATTTTGTGCCTATAAAGGTGAAGAAATATATATACAGAATGGCCAAGTCGACTTAATGGCCAAGATGAAAGGAGATCCCAAACTCAGCTGACTCCCAAATCGCTTTTGTACTATTTATGATACTCTTTGACAGGGCCTCTGCCAGTGCTTATGGTGCCTCTGTGTAAATTAAGGAGGGTGCCTTTGCCATCCAGAGGACATGGCCCCATGCCAGAGTGCATGGTTTATTGAGTAGTGATGTAATTGTCAGCCCAAGCCCGCACTCTTGTCCAAGTACCTTTGTGCAATGAACAACCTGCACAACTCTACGTGGCAGTCCTGAGAGTCCTTTTCTCTTTTCTCCATGTAGCTTAAAGATAGGAATCCTGATTGGAAGCTCAGATCTGGTGCCTTTTTGAAGTGTAAAAGACCAGAAATTGTTCTTGACTTGGTGCTGCAGACAAAATGAATAGTATCTTTCTTCCCATGGCAGATAAACAGTCTCCATTTCTGTACTTGAAATTGCCTTCCCTTGTACAGAGGGAATAACTAAGACGAGGTGGAGTCCTGGCCACCTCAGCAACAGTTTTGCTAAGAGGGTTGAATTTTACGTTCCCTTTCCCTTCTGCTCTCTGCTCTCCTCCCCACCCCTCCCTGCTGATGCCTGTGGTGGGCATGCAGTGTTGGCCATCACAAAGAGAGCTGACCTTTGTCCTTGTATCTGATTATATTGAGTTACTTAAAGAGGCTCTCACCTCCCTCTGTGTAGACAGTGGCTCATTGTTCTGACAACAGAGCGGCCAGGAGCAAGCCCTCCTGTGTGGGCACTGGTTCCTCAGCAAAGAGAGAGGAGAGAGGCAGCAGCCGGGCTAATGGTTACCCCTGCACTGATGAAAGGCCACTGTGATGGAACCTCAGGCAGGGTGGCAGGAAGCAGGAACATTAAGGAGGCCTCTGCATAGAGGACAGAAATATGGCCAGTCAGTCAGAGGTGAGACTAATGCGTGCACTGGGCTAATGGCGTTCCTTCCTCTTGCTGCTAAATGAGATTTGTGCCACCGAGCTGCTACAGGTCGTGAGTAACCCCAGTCCATTTGGTTATTTTCAGGAGTGGCTTGATGGCTTCCATTTCTTATCCCGCCCGTTTCTTAGCAACCAGTGGCACTCTCAGCAAAGTCATCTCTCACTTGCTGGAGGTCCCACCCAAATCTTTTCTCCTCTCATCCTGGGGTGAGGGTACACAGATGGAGGGACTGGAAATGGCAGGCGGGTCTGGGCATCACGGCTAGAGTGCTTCTTCACACGGTGATGAATGGATCCATTCCACTCTACCTCCCCGAGAAGTCTGACCGCCCAGCTTCTCTGGCTTCTGGAAAGTGACGTCCAGGAACACAGAACCCACTCAGGATCCATAGCCAGCCTGATGGGCACTGGTGGCCTCCTGTTCTGAAGAACAATGGTGGGACACTCTCTTCTTGTGACCAGGCTTGCCCACTTCTCTCCCGATCACACTGCCCAGCTGCTGGGAGCATGCAGACAGCCTGCACAGGGCTCACTGTGGTGGGATGTGCCCTGCACATATTTGGGGAGGGCCTTCTGTCCCATCACAGCTAAGCAACAGGGTCTTTCCCTGGCCAGCCCTCTCTACATGAGGGCAGGAAGTATACGGATTCAGGAGGCCTCACTAATCTGTTGGTTGAACCACCTAGATCATTCTATGGCACCTGTGCTGGCGGTTATCTCCTAGAAGTTCTTGATCCATGCACTCCCCCCTCACATCTTCCCACCCTTCCTTCCATCCGTTTCCTGCCTCCAGTACCTTGGAATGCTAGTGGTTGGTGGCCTGACTATAGACTCCCAGTCTTCACAGCCTCCATCCAAGTATCAGGGCATCTGCTTATGGCCATACCTTGAGAAAGGGAGAGGAATCTCTTGGTTCCCCAGTAGCAGTCAACCGCTACACCCATCTTACACAGCAGGACTCAGTACTGTTGTCACCGTGAACTGGTGTGTCATGATCCATTGTGATTTCTGTTTTATTACCAACTGCAGTAAAATTTCGTTAGGTGGCGATTTCCTCTCATTTTAAGTTGGAAGAGCTTCAGGCTTGTCCCCTTGGCAGCATTAGCCTCACCCACTTGCCGTCGTCGGCTTTCCACACTGACTGGAATGGAAATGCAGTTGGCCTCCTGGGAACTGGATGAGGCATGTGCCGCTCATTTGAATGTCATCTATCACATGTGTCACAGCATGAAAAAGGTTAAGAATTTTAAGTATTCAGAAATGCTTCCTAAGGAAGCCATCCATTCAAAATATAAAACTGTGACAGTTCACCCTGGGGACCAATATTGGAGGTGAAGTATAGGCATGTCATTAACTTACTCATTAATCCATGGGTCAAACACTTGTGGCACCCATGATGGTTATGTTGGGCACTCAGGGTAGATAAGACTTGATCCTTCCCTCGTGGCTCTCCTGGGCAAGGACCACCCCAGACAGGCGCTCAGCAAGCCCCATGGGCTGTAGCAGTGGGGAGCTCAGGGAGCGAGGGCCTGGTCCTGCCAGGCCTGGAGTGGCCAGTGAGTGATTCCCAGAGGAAAAGACTTTCATGCAGGGCCTTGAAGGGTGCATGTCAGTACATCAGAGCATCAGGCTCTCAATGTTTTCATATCTACAGCTTCATCCTTGAGGAGTTTGAAAGGATGACAATACTTGGTTCTCCTTTAAGAGTTGCGCTCATTGGAAACCACCTTCCCGAGCACCGGAGCCATCCTACAGGCAGGATAGGACACCTGCCATCACACACTAGGCCCATCCCAGGGAGCCCACAGAAGTAAAACGCTGCAAGCCAGTGAGCATCTGAGGATCCGGCTCTCTGGGGCCCTGCCCTTTGCAGCAGCTCTCTGAGGACTGATGGTGGGACCACAGGGCACTGCCATCCTGCCTGATAGGAACAAACGAGGCAGAGAAAGCTGGATAAGTCCAGTGGTGGGATGCAGACCTCGTCAGCAGGCCAGGCGTTGGCCAGCCTGCCAGCTTATGGAGGTCCCTGGGGGACTTTGAGAGCAGCAGCCCTTTCTGAAGGGGCTCAAGTCCAAGTACAGGAGCCCAGGCTGACCTTTCCCTTCCTCACTGCACAGCCAACTGATAAGAACACTTGTTGGAAGTTCATTAATGGGCTGTAATTGCATCTGCACGGTCAATAAGGCTTTCAGGGGCAAAGCCCACACAGGGGCCAGTACAGAAGTTGCTGAGAAGGCAGCAGCTTCACACAAGGTTTACAGAGTGCCAGGGCAGGGTTCTTGGGCTCTTGGGGTGCTGGCAAGAGGGTGGGGTTGGGCAGAGCCCTGAAGGAGGAGTGAGGTCAAGGCAGGGTCAACAAAGCCCAGCAGGGAGCCTGGGCCCACTGAGCACCCGGCAGGGCTGGGGGTGAGAATGAGGCAGAACGTCAGCCGGACCCCAAGCCCCACACTCACCCAGGGCTCCAAGCTATCCATGCTGCTCAGCTCGGCAGCTTAGAACTTGCTGGAGGTGAAGACACGTGGTCAGTCCATTTGTGGGCCAGTGTGTGGCCGCAGACGTGCACTGGACTGCACCCTCTACACGGAGGCAGCAGGAGAGAAGCAGCTGCTCAGCGTGGACCTGACCTCACTGTTAGACTAGTGCCAAGCCCATCCAGGTGGGCACCACACGTTCCTTCAGAGAAGGTTAGTTAGAGCCCCCACTGCCTTCTCCCCACTCCGCCCTCACCCCCTGCCCCACACTCCTTCCCTCTTTTTCTCACATCTCAGAAACACTTTGTAAATATTCTCCTTGGACAAGTGGACTGGGTTGTAGTGCTGCTAGGAAAGCCATTGTGACGTGACAATGTGCTGGGTGTCTGCTGTTTCCCCTGGAGACAACAGTCCCTACCCCCGGCTCTCGTGCACCTCAAGGTTTCATGGGCAGGCAACAGAAACTGCAGGATCTTTGCTTCTGATGACAGTCATGTCCTCAGTGGGGACCTGGGTTTTTCATCCTGGTTAGTCTCTCTGTCTGTGGATGACAGAGTGTCACTGTCACAGGAAGCTCTGGACCCAGCCGTGTTAGCAGAGCCATGTGGCCACTGGCCATGGACTGGAAAGAAGCAAGAGAGGCCATTTGTTTTTGTTTTTCACCAGTATGACCTGAGAATGTGACCCTTTACCTGACAAATACATTTGGCTTAGTAGGCACGGAATCTGTGAGGGGACGATGGCACAGATGGTTTTTGATGCTCAAAAAGGCTTGGCTCACAAACCTTGGGAATGGCCAGGCTGGGAGCCACCACTGAAACCCCTGGGGCTGTGCTATAAAATGGAACATTGGCATGTACTGCCTTTCAGAAATAGTGGTAATGAATCAAATCTACTGGAAATTTTATCCCTGGAATGTCATTGAACTACCTAGAACCCCGAGGAACCGAGGATGTTCGGGGTGGGTCGCAATCCTGGGAGAGCACGGGCTTTTCTGGGATGGAGCAAAGGAACCAAAGTGAAGCGGAACAAGGAACTGAGGGCGTGAGGGCTCTAAGGATGAGGAGGCTGAGGGCCCAGAGGTGCCCACGTGGAGAGAAGGACAGAAGTCCAGATGAGACTGGGGGCAGACAGCCTCATCTGAGCCCCAGCTCCTCTGAGAAGGGCCATTTCATTAAGTTCTTGGTCTTGTGCCTGTCAGGACAAGTGAGAGGTGGGCCCAGACCTCCTGACAAAATGCAATCAGTTCAACAAAGCAGATGGTAGGTTGTCCGTGTATGGCCCCGGGCTCTTCCTTGGGACAGGGAAGTTTCCCTCCCACCAGCCCCTTCCCTTGCCAGAGCACACAGATTCCATCACCCCCTCTCTGCCTTCCTCATTTCCCAGAGGAGCTACAGGTCTGCAATCCCGGTGGGCTGTGGCTCAGAGCAGGCTGGCCATCCTGGCCCTTGCTGGCTGGAACACTCTAGTGGCAAGTTGAACTGTCATTCCATTGCAGGTCCTTGAGCATGATGGCTGCAGAAGCCCACCTCTGCCACCTCTACCAGCCTGTCACCCAACTCCTGGCACCGATGGGGAGAGGTGGAGGTGGGGGAACAGGCATAGGACTGAGGGATGTGGACTGAGGCAGACAGAGCTGGGGTGCAGAGACTGTACTGGAGTCTCTGGGAATGCCTCCCACACTCACCTGATCAAGCTTTGAGTTCCAGGAACTCCCAGGGCCTGTCAATGTTACCTGCACTTGAACAGATGAGAGTGAGTGCCTCTCCTAAAACCCTGAACCCCACATGTTCCACTTGCCTCACCCTAGTCCCCCCCACCTCCGCCCCCTCCCCTGGCCACTGTGTCCTCCACCTCCTCTGTTCCAGCTCCTCAGGCTTGTTCTTCCAGCACTGAAGGCACAGGTATTCAGTGCGGCCTGAGCTGGGACACTGCAAGGACTGTCTGGGGCCTCCCTGTTTTTGCAGGTACCCCATCCCATTCATGGAGCCCAGAGCCAGCAAGTGCCAGGGAGAGGGTGGGGTGGGGCCGTCTTTGGGGCACTGGGGCCCTTTGGTTCCTCATTAGGAAGCTGCTCAACTTCCCTCTGGTGGGGGAGTTGGGGTTTGCTGCATAAAATGTCAGATCGCAGAAATTAAAAATGTAAATGCTGGCATCTAATTAACAAGTTGACAGCAGTGCACAGCTGCAAGTGACAGTGACTGATTACCTTCTGCTAGCGTCTCTCCCCAAGCAGCCCCCAGCTAACCCCCCTAGAGAGGAGGACATGAAGGCTGAGCAACTGCTTGGAAGAGCCTTTGGGCCCTGTAGAGGCCTCTGCAGAAGGGGTCTTCAAGGGACATGGACAGTGGGGACCCCTGTCGCCAGTAGCTGGGAGCAAAGCCAGGGCAGGAGATGTTCCCTCCTTACTCCTGGTCCCACTCCTGCCACCCTCTGATGATATATGGGCCACTCCCCAAATCCCTTGCCTCTGAGTCTGTGGCATCCAGAGCGGCAGAGGGCTCTCTCTGGGCCAGACCCAGAGCCCAGGTGGGAGAGAGCCCCTCATGGCCCCCAGGGGGTCATGCACAGGCATTCAGTGGCCGCAGACACAGTGCCAGGAATTTCCTTGTCTCCCTCCTTCAAATGCGTGGCTCCAGCGCCTTCCTTCCCTGCTCCCATCCATTGGCAGGTATTACTCGGATATCGGGAAGATGCCGGCCATCAGCGACCAGGACATGAATGCGTACCTGGCTGAGCAGTCCCGGATGCACGTGAACGAGTTCAACACCATGAGCGCGCTCTCAGAGATCTTCTCCTACGTGGGCAAGTACAGTGAGGAGGTGAGCCCTGCCCTGCTCAGGGCCTGTGGGGCAGGATGGGGCAGAGATGGGAGAGCCACCCCTTGCAGACTCTCTGCCCGAGAGCTCCGCCTACAGACACCCACCTGCCACCTCTGCTGGGGAAACTACAACCCAGCTGGGCTCCAGAGACTGGGACACTAGAGTGTTCCATTCTATGAATTCTGCACCAATCCCTGTTCTTCTCAGATACATAGATCAAGTATCTGTTATTGTCATTTTTTTTCTTTTTAGTCTTACTTCTTTGATATTCCTTCTTCTTTAGTTTTTTCCATTTCTCTTTCTGATTTAATTCTCTTTACACAAGCAGTTCCCCACTCCCATGGAATGGAACGGAATAGGGTAGAATAGGACAAGACAGATACAGAACAGAGGAGAATGGAGTCTATTTTTAGTTGCTGTGTTGGAAAACTTTGTGTGGGGTCACCACCACCGCAGACTCCACCTTCCTTCTGGCCCGTTCAAAGGTGCCTACGGGAGTTTTCTTGATCAGGAGGGCTTAGACCGAGCGAGTTCAGCATCCAGGCTCCCTGTCTGAGCAGCACAGCACCATCACCCTCTCTGTGAGTGGAAGGTGGTAACAGGAGCTGAAGCCAGAGCCCAGGGTTCTCTACGTCCTCGCAGCCTCATCATCAAGAGAGGGCCTGGGAACTGCCGTTCAAGGAAGAAACCCCAGCAGGGCCCAGGCTCTGGTGACCCCCAGGCCAGGAGCAGCATAATGCTGTGAACATCAAGTGAAGGGGAAGACAGTGGTGGGTCCCTTAGCGGAGGAAGCCCAGTGCAGCCTGCAGGCCAGTGCTGGTCCAGGGCGGATTCCCCCTGTCCGTGGCCACAGGAGAGAAACAGGGACAGTGTGGAGTATATGCCAGTGTAGGAGTGCGGCTGCCTCACCCTGGAAAGGACTCACCCTTAGTCTGTAAGGACCCTCATCTACTGTTGGTATCAAATGCCCCATCCTTATGAAATGTGGATGCCAGTAACTGGCAGTTCATGGCCATCTAAGAAGTTGGTAACTGCATCCTGGTCTCCCCAGTTAAAAAGGCACAACTGGACAGGAAATCCAAAGCCCTGGGAGCCTCCCCTCAGGCCTTCAGCCCCCTCTTTCCCTCCTCCACCTCCCTCCCTGCTCCCTTGGCCCCAGCACCAAGAGATGGCAGCCCTGTCTGTTGCATGCCCCTCGTGGGAGCAGGCAGGGGCTCCCGTTCGTTGTCTGGCTTTATCTTCCCCACTGGAGCACCCCAGAGAGAACTAGCAGGTCCCTCATTTTTCAGATGAGGAAATAAGGCTTCAGAGAGATGACATGTTTTTCCCCAGATCACCTGCCTAGAAACTGGTGGACCTGTTATACAAGCCAACATCCCCTGGGGCTGAGTCAAATTCTAACACATTAGCCACCACATGCTATGATCGCCTGCTGTCATTGTCCCCCACCGACCAGCTGATCTCAGAAAAGACTTTGGCAGGCATTATCCATTAGGTGTTAATGACCAGGAAAGCTTAAGATACAACTCTTCAAAGGATATTTGTTTCTTAACAGACAAAATGAAGCCAAATGACTTTCTAAATGTAGAATTTCCAGCCTCAGGGAGATGATGGGGAAGATTTTCCTTTTTTGGAAGGAGGGGTGGGATTTCTTAATATCTGTGAAATTACATTCCCTGGAGACACTGCACACCACACTTTACTTTGGGCATGGAACCGTCTGTGGTTTAACCTGCAGGAAACCGTAGCATCTTTGCACAGGTGTCCTCTGCCTTCTGTCAGCTGTCTTATGGGCAGGAAAGTGTACATCCTCAAACATGCTGAGGTGTGTGCTGGCATCCTGTGCCCACTGACACATGGGCACCCACGCATTGCATCCCATGCCTGAGTGCACCCCCCACCAGCCCGTCCCTGTTACCCAGGCGGCCTGCTTACCCAGCAATTTTGTGTGTTCGTCCTTTAGTGCACCTCTTCCCCAACCTTCTGACTACATCCGCCCTGACTGTGTGTGCCCTGAGAACACAGACACATGCGTACCACCAGTAACCTTCCCATTCTTGGTCCTTCAACAGATCCTCGGACCTCTGGACCATGACGACCAGTGTGGGAAGCAGAAACTGGCCTACAAACTAGAACAAGTCATAACCCTCATGAGCTTAGACAGCTGAGAACCGTCCCTCCAGGGCCCCCTGGGGGGAGGGACACACCAAGCCGTGCCTCAGTCCGATCATCATCTTTACCAAGTGCAAGTTCCGACCAGCGTCAGCAGCACCCCCTGAGCAGCGCTGTCTCTCTGCCTCTCAGTCTCGCCCTCCTTCCTGGACCCCTTCTCTTTGTAGTTGCTCTGCCAACACGACTGAACCAGCCACCAACCCTCAGTCCGTCTCGGATGGCCAGTCCCACGGCAAGCGACCTGACCAGAAGATAATCAGCAGGGGCTCTCTTCCCTGGTTGGCCCCGGGTGTTAGCAGCAGGATGAGGAGCCGTGGGGGGGGATGTTGCTCGCTGCTATTCAACCCCCACTTCTGGAGAGCCCCCGTGTTGGTCTGAACTTGGCCTAGGGCAGAGGCAATGAGCTCAGTATTGTCTTCTCTGGGAAGGCATCACCTTGCTCTCCCTTCCACATTTTCATCTCCAGGGGCTCGGGCAGAGGTACGGTCCCTGTGCAACTGTGAGCAGAAGAGGCTGTGCCTCCTCCATCTGGCAGGAAGGTGGGGCTAACGAGCTGGGAGGTGCTTTGCAGGCCACCTCCCACCTGTTGGGCTGGCCTCCTGAGGCCTCCTCATCCCCATCCACTCTTCTTGGAGTCCTTCCAAGTGCTTGTAAGCACCTGCTGCCCAGTTCCTCTACTGCCTGTAGAAAGCAGGAGAAGGAACAGCAGTCACATTCCACCATGGAGATGCTCCTAACCTCCCAGTCTGGCTCATAGTGGTAGAATGTAACGTGAAGGGGAGAAAAGGAGAGAAAGTTGCATCCACCCTGGAAGCAGAATTTCGTTTTTTTTCCCCATTCATTCCCCAAATACAAATGAGTCACGACCATAGTCTTAGGTCTAGTTCATTGTCAGCTCCTCCAGTGCTCTTTAGAGAAAGCACCTCCATCCTCCCCAGCCATCACTCATCAAGGGTCAGTGTGAAATGCAGAGTGCATCCAGGAGATTCTACCTCCAGCCGTCTCCATGGCTCTGCCCCCACCATGCTTCCTGAGAACTTCATAGAAGGCTGGGGCCCACAGCCAAGCTCCTGGCCCCCTGCAGAATCTCATGCCATTGCTATGCAGATGACTGTGGTCACTGGACTGTCCAGACTGCCTTGAGAATTATTCATCCGTATCTCAGCTGATTCTGCAGCCATTCTACTTCCTCATCTCTCAGCAGTCATCATAAGAAACACACTTGAGACCAGCCTCGCAGAGACAAACCAAAGTGCCAGCCGAACTCAGCCCCTGGCTTGGCACATCTGGGGGGCGCTGAAGAGTCAAGCTGAAGGACCTGGCCGGAAATGGGAGGAGGGCCATACAACTGACCTCAGCCCTGGTATCTGCCTCTCCATTGGTCATTCCATCCATGGATGCGTTACGTTAGCCAGCCAGGCAAATGCATGCTCAGATGGGGGTTCTAGGTGGGCAGGGCAGGGGCTGTGGTGAGAGGCGGTCTAAGAGAGGGTCATGGAAGCCTGTAATCCTGAAGGGACCTCAGATGCAATCTGGCCCAGTCTTTCACCATAAGGACACATCTCTCCTGGCGGCCCTGGTGTCTGGTTGTACACCAACTCCCTTGTGGGGTTGAGGTGAGGGTTCCACAGTCTTGCCTTCATTTCCTGGACATCAGACATCACTCCCTGCCATCCTCTCAAAACAAACCCCATGTGGAAAGAGGAGAACCACACGGTTCCCAGCGAAGTCTATGGAGCATCCTGTACTTCTAAGAATGCTACCCCCTTCAGGGGTGTGTGTGTGTGTGTGTGTGTGTGTGTGTGTGTGTGTGTGTGTGTGTGTGTGTGTGTGTGTGTGTGTGTGTGTGTGTGTGTGTGTGTGTGTGGGTGTNTGTGTGTGTGTATGTGTGTGTGTGTGTGTGTGTAGGTGTGTGATTTCTTGTTCTATATAGGAGAATTTCAAAGTGTTTCCCTTCTTACCCTTCCTTATCATTCATCCTGCAGCTTCAGGACATTTCAGCACTTGCTTTCTCTGCTGAGTGCTGTTGGGGGTAAGGGGAGGTCACACGTCCATAGAAATCAGGATGGCTGTTGGCTGAGGGAGGCCAGGACTTGAGGCCAGCACAGGGCATCATGCGGCATCGAGGAGGACAAATGGTGGATGAAACCCAAGTAACCCAACCAGTGGGGACGTAACCAGTGGGAACAGATGTATGTCAAGGGGGAAATGATAACCAAAGGTTTTGGCCAATGAAGTGCCAAGTGAAAGAAACAGAATTTCTCTCCTTGATCATTTTATTTCCTCTCAAGAAGCCACGGGCTTTGAAAGGCCAGAAGAGAAGCATGTGGGAGGCGAGCGAGGAGGCACCTCGGCCGCTAAAATAATTTTGCACATGTGAAGGGTTGGAGAGCAGAGAGATACATATTTAACACAGATTTGCTGAATGGAAGCTGTGTGTGTGTGCGTGTGTGAGCATGTGTGTATGTTTTGATTTATTTTTTAAGTTTTGCACAGAGAGAAAAATGAACAAGCAGAAAAAAGACTTATCATGATTCTGCTGAAGGTTTTATTTTTTACCAGATTGTTAGTATTGTTATTGTTCCTTTGTCGGTACAGAACTTTTTTTTCCCCATGTTTTAAGAGAAACTTCAAACACCTCAGAGAAATATAAATGTCAGGAAGAAAGAGGAGAGGGGGACCCACAGTTTTCTCTCTCGTTGCCTCCTGGGGAGGGCTCTGGGGCAGACTTTACCATGCTTGGTGGGGCGAGCTGTGGCTGGTACTCTGTTTGCTCTGAGTGTCTGTGTCTGCCTGGGGGCAGAGAAGTAGAATAGAACTGTGCAGAGCTGCAAGCCATCTTGCCCGAAAAATTCTTTTTCCTTTTGCTGTTTTCCATTTCTCGGTTTGGATTCTTGATGCACGTGTGATACGCTTCAGTAAAGATAAGGCAGCATTGTCAACAAGCTGTCCTTCCGATCTTCTTCCCAGAACTCCCCTTGGGACCCCTGATCTCCTGCTGGCAGGCCAGAGACCCTGAGAGCTGCCCAGGTGGCAAGCAGGCTGGCACGTGCCCCAGAAGGGGCTGGGAAACTGGGTCCTGTGGAGAGGAGGTCCCCTCTGTCCCAGCTGGTTTTCAGAGTCACAATTCTGTTTCAGGTGGAATCTTTAACTCTTTGAGTCCTGAGAGAGCAGGGGAAAGAAGGCCCTCTCCCCACACCACCCCCTGAGCCTGCCTCCTGCACCTCCCACCCCTTGAGACCACTGGGGTCGAGACGGTCCCAAGAGACCACTTAGAATAACTGACCTGGGATTGGTGGGGATCTCAAATGTTAGAGGAAGATAGGCTGAAGGTTGGTTAGTGGCGAGGAGGTGAGGAGCTTTCTGGTGTCCTGAATTTAAAAGGATGGACTGATAGAAGCTAAGAAAGATAGCTGCAGGCTGGTCATTTCTTTTTGCGGGGCACAGCTCTCCCCAGGTGTGGGCTTTGCCATTCTTTGTCCTTCCTTAGAACGAGAGACCCTGATATTTCTTGGTAACTGCAAATGGTGCCATTATGGGAAGTTGGCTATTGTGTCAGTTACTTCCTTAGGAAAATGTTTTTTCTTGCCTTCCTCTTTCAGTGTGGTTTTAACCTAGAGCCTGAGGATAAGCTGAGTGTCCCACAGGCCAAGGTACATCCACACCCCCAAAGGGACATGCCATCCCATCCCCAGCTCTGGAGCCGTGCTCTCGTGAGCCTGCATCCCAGCGAGTCAGGCCCAAGGTGCCTGAGCAGGGCTACACCCAGAGAGGGAAGTCGTGTTGAGTGAGTTCCAAATTTGAGGCTGACTGTCCAGGACTGTTCAAGCTGAGAAGTTACCAACAGATAAGGTGCCTGACTTTTCCCCAGGCCCAGGTCACACCCTCCAGCCTGGGGCTAAGGTCCATGCACTGTCCCAGGACCGTCTCCCCACTTCCCCATGCCCAGGGTCCTCATACTCCTGTCCCCCTTGCATGCGTGGCTTCTGAGTATGCCCCTCTCCTGGTGGAGGGGCGCATGCCCCCCTTATCCTTCTTGCCTGCCTCCTGCACGATGGCCTCCATCTAGAGGCCATGTATCCACGCGAGTCCAGGTGTGCTCAGCCCCTCTGTGGGGAGCCCAGCCCTCACGCTGCCCTAGGCCCACCCCACCCTCCCAACAATACCTCCCTGAGTGGTGGGGGCTCCCTGGTATAGCCAGGGCCCTGTGGGGCCCCCATCAGAGGGAGGCACAAGTAACAATTTCCCAGATGACCTCTATTCCAAGAGGCAAATCCTGCTGATGCTTCCAGAACCCTGAGCAACTTTGACCTAAAGGGGAAAGTCCCATTTTCCATCCTTCTCCTTTCTCAGAACTACAGACACTTCCTTTGGCTTCATGGGATGTGAAGTCAAAATATTTAGTCTAGTGAAGGTTAAGGTTAATGAATAAACCTTCCACCTCAGAGAACCAAGGAGGGAAGACAAGGTACAGGGAGCCACATGGAAGGCATAAGGCCACAGACACGCCTTTCCTGGCCCTTTGGGACCAGCTGCCCCAGCATGGTCTGAAAGGCCTCAGAGAGGTGATCTGTGATAAATGACCTCAGATACCGGAGTCCCCACACGCCCCGAGAGGAGACCCCTCCCCAGCTCCTGGCTCCTTCTGGGCCTTTCCTTCACATCAAGCACCCACTCAGCCCCCACGCTTCCTGTGGGTTCTCAGGACAGATGACTGAGGGCCCCTGGACCACCAACCCCTCCTTTTTCATTACACTGTGTGTGGGATGTTTATTTGGGGTTTGTAGTTTTTTTTGTTTGTGTATTTTAAGAGTTTGAGATAAATGAGGGAGCCCAGGTGTGGATGTAAGGTCCAAAGTCCTGAAGAGGAGGAATGAAACTCTACCTGTACCTCCCAAGGGGCTGAATAGAGCCTCGGGTTGGATGGGGGCTTCCCCTTATTGCAAAAGAAATGGCCAGGACATTTCCAAGATGTGGACATGCCAGGGGAAGCTACCCCTGTGTCCGCCAGTACGTCCCCAGCCCTTTGACGGCCAGGGCCTGCAATGCTACCCTCTTCTCTGCCTGCCTTCCACCACCTCACCCCAACCCATCAGGTGTAGCAAACGAGAGCCTATTTTACAGGGGGAGAAGCTGAGGTACAGGCACAGGTGACAATGAAGAGGCAGCTCCTGAGAGAGGCAGGGACACTGCCTGTCCCTTCTCCTCACGGTGCTTTGAAGGTGCAAACCCCACTGGAACATGAAATGGCCAGTCCACCTTCAGAAAGGAATCTCAGTAATAAAAGTTTCAGACATTCAAGAGAGACCTTTTCTCTAACCCACAAATCTTTGCTCCCCAATAAAATTTTTTTTATTGGGGGAGTATCCAAGTTTATAAAATACATAGAATTTTTTTGGTTATAAAAATAATGTGCACTCATTAGCATCCCAATTAAATTCCTTGAGTAGGCCAGTAACTCCCCCAAAACAAAACAAAGCAAAACAATAAATTCCCTAAAGAATAAAAAGCACTTTCTGTTTGCATTGGCAGAGACAGTAGGGTGGGCAGGAGGCCATGGGCACCTCCGCTCCATCCCCCTTTCCACTCCGTTTGGCCTTGGCTGTCCTGGTTGCCCCTGGTGTTGCTGAATCCTATGTGGTTCCCATCAGCTTCCCCCCACACTGCAGGGAGACCCTGTGAAGAGTGGGTCAGGGAGAGACCCAAGCCCCCTCCCCCAAGAATGCCAGCGCTCACGACACATAGACATGGTCTATGCAGCTCATCTCCACCGGTTTCTTCCTCCAGAATGACAAATTCTTTTGTTAGTATCTTTGATCTTACAATTCAAGCACATTTGGAGCATAATTCAAAACAGAGGATACAGTTAAAAAGCAGTGCAAAAGACACTTAAGGAACCGAGATGACGTTACCAAACAGGACTACTGGAAGTAATTCATCCCGTGACCAGGACGGGACACGTGTCCTCATGCGTCGCTTCCCTCTCCCTTCCCCGGTTTTCTCATCAGCTTGTTGGCTTGTAAACCTTCAGTTGTTTAAGAAGAAAAGCTAGTTTACCTCAAAGAATCTTGTTTCCATTTGGAAACTAATGACTGTGTTTTAGAGTGGATAGCCCTCCCCTCCATCATTCCCTGCTGGGCCTGGTGTCACTGAGGCCTGGGGGCCTTGCTTAGTCAGGTGATGGCTGCGCTGACCAAGAACAAGACCCCCAGGGGCTGAGGTGGGAAGGAAGGAAGGACTGGATGCAGTGGGCCTCCTCCCCACTTCAGCTTGTGAGGACCAGCCTGTCTCTTCCAGCGGGGTCCCGCCAAGTTACCTTAACAACCAGCAACTCCAGGGTACCACAGTAGACACTGGCTCAGTGAGCCGAGGTGTTGTGAGAAAGGAGTGTGGCCTGGTCAGGTGACCCAGAATTAAGTCTCTAATACTATAGGAAAGGGAGAAATAGGAAAGGACGAATGGGTGGTGTAAGGACCAGGCAAGCAGCCTGTGAGTCTCAGAGAGAGTCCACTGAAGGAGGCAGGGCAGGTCATTCCTGCCCCAGTCACCCCCTTCCAGCCCTGCAACACTTCTGTTTCCATAAAGCTCCCACCTTGAACACTGACCCTTTGTTAGAACAAAGCAAAGCATATCTTTAGACAACAGTGTTACAATGAGCCTCAAAGATAGGTGGATGAAATCTATTAGAAGAAGAGGGTCTTCTGGTTTTGATTTTTTAAAGAAAGAGTATCCTAGTAAGGTTAAAAAAAGATTTAAAAAATAAAAGTTTTTAAAAAGGAAACCTATGCTATTTAAATTGGAGCCCAGTTGTAACTTGGTAAAGGCAAGCTTCTGTACCTTTGTT